CCTCTCCTGAGTCCTTCTGCATTTCGTTCCAACACTTTCGTGAATGTCACGAACCATATATATATATATAAGATTCTCATCTCATAGTACTTTACATCTACCAAATGGACACTTGTGAGGTTTTCCTAAGTCCCATGCATCATATCGTTCCACAAACACTTAGGCATTCTGCATTAACTTCCACGACACTGACACCTCTGAATGTCCCTTGACTACTATGGATCTCCAAATCCGTATTCATGAAACTCGAATGGCGTCTTGAACATAGTGTACTTATCATGTTCTAGTGGCCGTCGTTTTTAAGGTTTAGAAGTCATATGGTTCTCGAGAATTTTCCACGTTCTATTTGCTGAGGTATTATCGAAGTTGAAGCAAGAAAGTTGTCCTTGACAAATTGTCCATCTGGGTTACTATGCATAAGTCGGATCCGTATCATTATGGACTTAAGGAAAGTGTTAAGGAAAAATCATTATGATCCCTCGAATGTAATATGAAAATTTTAGGTAAAACTTTCTTTCGTTCCATGCATAATTCAGTGGTGTTCAATGAAAAAACGTCCAGTGAGCAGATTCAGGTTCTTATGGGCCCCCATAATTTCCGGTCATGTATCATGACGTTTTCGGGAGATTTTTAATAAACAAAAGTCTATAATAGCTGGTTTGGCAACTGAAAGCACTTTGTGACAAGCAATTTTTTTTTTCATTTCGAAAGTTACATCACTCGAAAAGCTCTGAAAAAAATGGTTTTGCTTTGATAGAAGCGCTTTTTCTTTTATAGTAACTTCAGCAGTGTCCAAAGAGGGTGTAGGTGTTTGTCTTCCTAAAGTAGATCCACACCCACACCCACACCCACAACGTCGAAAGACACTACGTGAAACTTAAGAAGCGAATTCTGGTCGAACTCGAAGGATTTTGTAATAATTTTCACTTTATCTGGGGTCAGGGTTCTCGATTGTTTTTGGAAAAGGGGGAATGGGGGACTAAGAATTTGATAGAAAGCCGATTTCGAGTGTGGGGATGGATGGGTGTGGATATCCTCCTCCAACATAACCACCCACACACCTACACTGCTGAAGTTACTATAAAAGAAAAAGCGCTTCTATCAAAGCAAAACCATTTTTTTCAGAGCTTTT